ACACTGGGATGTTTTCATTATCTGAACCAAAGTTTCTTCTCATGGAAATTCCCACTCATTTAAAACAAACTCATTCTCTGATGTAGATTGGACTACAAGTCTTTGAGGTTGGAGTGATTAAAAAGTTTATTTCTTCAATAAATTTTAAAACACCAAGCCAATTTCCTTTTATCTGAAACATTTAGTCTATTTATAATATTTTCAGTTGTTCCAAGATGATCTTATTATTGGAGAGGAAGTGGCTTTTTGTTATTTGATTTTTGTACAATGCCTTATGTTTAAGCAGCTTAACTACAAATGTTGATGATCATATCAAGTGAAGTCAAAGTGCAAAGTGTACTTTTCAGCTACTGGCAACCATATCTACTTAACTTGAAAGCCATTTTATTACCACCAGGTGGCCAAGCAAAAGAGTTAAGAAACATACTGTGTTTTGTATAATTAATCACAGCAAGCATATGCTTGTAAAAGTCCGTATTTTCAAAGTAAATGTTGACTTCCTTGTCACCCCCATGGAGATATCACCCTTAAAAACTCCAGACAATAATGTGCTTAATGTTAACAGCCTCTAATTTTTATTCCACAAAGGAAAACAAATTTATTGTCGAAAATTGGGAAAATAATAAAATTGTAGAGGAGAAAATAAAAGGCATCCACAATCCTTTCACTCAGAAGTACTGTACCATATGAATACCATTTGCCTTATAAATGTATGTCCTACAGAAAGTTTCTCATTCAGTGGAGATTATGATTTATATATAGTTATGGGTGTCTCATAACTCGTACATGTGTGTGCACGTGTACGCGCGCGCGTGTGTGTATGTGTGTGATATTCCACTGTGATAATGCACCAAAATTGATTTATGTATTTTCCAGTTGGTAGGTGTATCTTGTGTTGCCAACTATATCTACTTATAATATTTTCAAAGGGATGACTTGTTTTGGCAGGTGTCTCAGGCCTAGCAAAATGTATGAAACAAAGTCTATATATCAGTATACGCTGAAGTATGAGGGAAGTGTTAAAGAACAATAATAAGCCCTTTGGGGGATAATACTATTTTTGCTTTGTAATATTTAAAATTATTGGACCAAGGAGATAGCTCAGTAGAATAAGTGCTTGCCTGGCAAGTGCGAAGGCCTGAGTTCAATCCCCGGTTCTGAAAAAAATAAATTCAATTATCTAAATAATTTTACAGCTTGTCAATTATTAGTGTGCTATAAATGAAGTGATATTCCTCTTTTCTACAAATAAATTTGTTTTTACCATTTTTTCTCTTTTAGCACACTGCCAACAATAAACATCAAGTATTAAGAGAATACAATCTGTAGAATATAAACACTGACAATTTTCTGAAATGCTTTAAAGTGTAGCCATGTATCAAGTTAAGTCCAGCAAAATTAGAAATGCAGCCTGTTGAGATGTGCTTCTATATAGCATAGAATGCAGAAGATGACATTAGAAGCTCCAGGAGACACGCTGCCTACCATCCCCTCCAAGTCCCACTTCACTACTTGTCCTTCCTGTGTCTAAGCAGGGCTGTTGTGTATTTAAAGTTGTTCAGAGTGCTGAGTCCATCAGTCATATTAGTTAGGTCCAGGCTGCAAATCCTCAGACCTCAGCATCACCAAACCACAGATGTTCCTCTTACCCAGAATGCATGCTCCTCCTGAATTCAAGATTCCATTTTCACTCTGGGATCCAGACTGAAGAGCCCAACACTGGAACATCCTGGTCTCCTGCAGACAGAATATAAGAAAGAGAATATAAGAAAGAGAAAGGGAATTCACAATCCTCAGTGTCTATTTTGTTTCTTTAAACAACCACATTAAAACAGCTAATTTCCTTTATTCTTAAATGTCATTGATTGAAGCCAGTCTGATGAGAAGGTCAGGATGCACGAGATGCCAATAAGAAAGGCAGTATATCTTCCTAAAGACAGGGAACTGAAGTCCGATCGGGATGCCTAATGCCAGCAAGGGAGACAGAGGGGCCTTGGGAATCAATCGTGCCACATCACACCTGTTGCTTGTTGGGTACCTTAGCACCCTTCAGTGATGCTAATAAGTACATCTTAGCATTTTTAATGATAGCAAAGTACATGTAAGGTTAAAAACCATCTTAAGCATTTTAAAATGAATAGTTAAAAGGTGCTGAGTGTGTTCACAGTGCTGTGTGACGTCAGTGGTCAGAGCTGTCTTCACTCAACAAAACTGAAGCTGTAGCCATTTAACAATGTCCTGCTTCCCCCGTCTGCCTCTGGCAAGCTCCCATTGTACATTCTACCTCTATGAATGCTCTGCTCTAAATATATAAGGTGACTCATACAGTATTTGTATTCTTATGATTTGCTTGTTTCACTCAGCATGTCCTCAAAGTTCATCCAGGTTTTAGGGTGCACCAGAATCTCGCTGTTCTTTAAGGCTGAATGATATCCCATTATGTGAAATTGTTTAATTAAAATTGATTTTCTTCCCTTATCTTATTCAACCTTCAGGTATATTCTACCACTAAGCTACCTCCCTTGTTCTTTGTGTGTTAATCTTGAGATAAGATCTTTCTAAATTGCCCATGTAGCCTCAAATTTGTGATCTTCCTGCCTCAGCTTCCCCAATAGCTGAGACTCCAGGTGTACACCACTATATCCAGTTTACACCAACTTTTTGACTACTGAGACTACTGCCTAATGAAAATATATAATATACTTAGAGAACATAAAGTAGCTCTCTGAGTCAAGAAGAACATTACAGAAATGAGCATTATTATAGTACAATATACTAAGTGTTAAATAAATCATAGAAAACCTTATTCTGTAATGCCCTGTTACATTATAGATGTCTGCTAAGCAATTACTCATAGCAATCTAATTTTAAGTATCAAGGAAAGTTTGTTTGACCAGAATTTCTCAGAAAGTTTTATTCTTATCAGAGGTCCTAAAAGAGATTATTTTCAAGATGGCCCACATTATTAAA